ATCATGCTTCTTCAAAATTCGCTAGGGCCACGAACCTTGCAACTCTGGTCCACATAAGACAACTGTACAAGTGCAGGTACAGTGTATTGCTGCCGCGCTAGATTGCGTACTGCACGGGTCAAATGTGAAGGTCGATTTGAAGATCGACTCCATCGGGGAATCTCTTCCCAACCGGAACCTCAAGTGAGTTGATACTTTCCGATTATTGTCGACACTGGATCGCTCTGCTCCTGGCCGTGAACAACTTACCACGCCTGAGTACGTACCTGAGCAAGACGCTCAGAGCTGCTTCCCTCGTACTCCGCAAATTGACGCCACGTTGAGCGTTTCGAGCCCACATTCAGCAACGAGGACTAGGCCTGGTAATCGCCCGATTGGTAAAAGATAGGCTTCCACTGGATTTCCTGTCGTTCCAGAACTTCGCAGGCCCTTTGACTCGGTCTTATGAAGTCGGGCTAGCTAACTTACATAACCAAGGCTGTGATAGTGACGCATTTACAAGTGAGCGCTCCACATTCGGCTCAACGAAAGGACGTCACATGTGACGTTTGAGTTCTTCTCAACACGATCCAACCGGTCGACCGTAGATGCTCATCAAATTACGTCTTAGTTTTTTTTCTGCGTACTCGGAGAGACTAAAGTCATGTGGAAGATTTCAAACAGACGCCGACTTTAGTCTGATGTTTTGGCGCAACGTCTGCTTCCTGATCCCTCCTTTATTTGAGTGGACAGCCCTGTGTCTGAATTTGTCTTGCGTTTACCAAAACTTTTGAGTCTGCGTATACGCCAGGCCTCCTGACAACTTTCTTGCGTCTTCACCTCAAAACATTCTTGGAAGCTAGACCGGATGATTAAGCCTTCTTGTATCCATTGACCCGTCTTGGAATGTAGGTCCGACTTGTCGTGAACTGCAGTGGGCGTGCTGGTCCACGTGGAAGAAACGTAACACGGCCATGATCGGGAGCATGCCGGCTGAGCAGCAGTTGCTCAGTACTGCCTTTGCTCTTTTCATTAGAGAGCTACGATACTCTGCAAACAATCATTCAAACTCAGAATCTTCACTTTGCCATGACTTGCCGAACGAGGCCCAGAACTTCGAGACAAGTCGCTCTGATTCGGGTTGTCATTCTATGGCCGGTTTTCTGCGCCGGCCACCAGAGTTACAGTGGGTTGCAATTTCAAAGTTGCCTCAAGGAGTCGTCTGAATCTGGTAGAGCTGTCGCCCCTTTGCACTTGACGCCTATCAAGCTTGTTCCGTTTCGGTGCACGTCACTTACCGGTGAAGAGGGCTTTTTCGGTGTCTTAAAACCTGCTTCTTTGACGTCAATTTGGTGCGCACCGGACTTCTGGCCTCAGATTCTTAGGCGCCAATCTGTCGCGGGGTTGTCTTTCTCAAAGGTAGTCGGTCTGATTGACCACATCGTCTCGCTTCCCCCTCACTAACATGATTCTTACGCGCTAGAATCTGGTCGCGACTGCGCGTTCGGTCGCGCTCATCACGTGACTTCAGGCCAACAGAATGGAAGCACGGGGAACGGCTGTGACGAAGCACCGCGTGAGAGCTTTTGCTCAATTTGATAGGGGTCGTAGCGAAAGCCGCATGGTCCTTCCCATCTGCTCTGCCGTCAGCATGCGGGCTGTTATCGAATCACATCTACGAGGGACCTACTTCTCTAGTTGAGTTCTTTGCATCTCCAAAACCCCCCGATTCGTGCTTGGTTTGTCGAAAGCGTGTGCTCACGACTTCTTCTGGAGGTTCACATGCACTTGCCAACCGACCGCAATCATGAGCCTTACAAGTTACTACGACCCACTCCTTTGTTGGAGCTTGTATAGTCCTCGAGCTTACTCGGAAACAACAAGCGGCCTTTTCTTCCAGCTAGGGAACCATGCCCATGCGCGGAGCTGACAGGAACCTTTGGCTTGTGCCCCCCCGATTCGAGCCTCGGAGCATGTACAAACACCGGTTAGTAGAGTTCGGCTGGTTTGCAGAGAGCTCGACACGCCCTTTGGGCCAGCGGGGCCCTCCGCCTGTCCGCGCGCGCCCGTCAGTCCAGCTTGAGGGAAGTCCGGCCAAATTGTAGTAGCCTTATGCTTATAATGTGCGCTGCGTCAAGTGGATCGCCTGTGTCTCTTAGGGCTCTGAAATTACATGGCACAATATGCTCGAGAGGGAAGCTGGGTCCAGAAGCCGGTCCAGGGTCTGACTATATGATTCACCTTAGCTTTGAATATTACACTGGGCGGAAGGACGTTACCCGACAGCATCGGTAACTGCCCCTCCTAGCTCATTTTATTATCCTTTTCTGACGCCTGAAAGACTTCCATCGAAGTACATGTTGCCGATCAATAGCAAAGACTTGGACCTGAGTGTGCAAGCCGCGGCCGTGATAGTTCGTGTTATGAGCTGCTGCAAGCTCATGAACTTGCGGCGATTTCATTTCCATGAGCCCATGCTGAAATCCGAGCACCTCGTTTACCACTTAGATGGAACTTTTCCTTCAAGCGCCGTTCAGATACGGGATTCTCTGGGCTTTCTACCAGGTCAAATCCTTTTCGGCGTCAGGACTACCGTGTGCCGGCCAGATGGTCATCCGCTGCCTTCCAGTTGTACGTACAGGCACTCCCGTCCTTCGTGTAGAAGCAACTCAACAATATTGAAAGGCATTGCACGGTGTTTTAGAATCACGGCGGCGTCATGAAGCGTGCAAACCTATGGTATGCAGTGAGAGGCCCAAGTCTTGGCTTCCTGGAACGCAATCACGAGAGTGCCCCTACGTGGGTTAAAAAAGCGTTAGCATATGGGTCGGAACTGACGATAAGCTCGATCGATCGCGTGTCGGTACTACGGAGGTCCATCGATATCGATATCTCACCCCGCTACGGAGCAGTCTAGCGCAAATTTCGATTGCAGTGGGACCTCATATATCTTCAAGTAAAACTGGCAGCAATTGGGCTGAGGTGGATGAATGTGATCGGGTGATTGGTTATACGTTTATACGCGTTCTCTTCCATCGATCCTGTTGGCTAGAACAAATACGAATGACCTGCTGTGGTTCAGGCTGAGGCGCGTGCACATGCACAGACTCCCTCCGAGTACCCACCGAATATGACCACCGATCGATTTTACACGTCGTCAAGCCACTGAGCCGGACATTGAGGCGCGTGAGATACTTGACTTCACTGATTTCCTGATTCCCTTTGACTCTGTGTAATTACTGAGCCGCTCCATAAACGGCGCCCGCGTTGAAGCCGGCTCAGATCGGTTCCTTCCGATGTACCACGGTACCTCTTCAAAGATCAGCAAGGAGTGTACGAAAACTATCAGTTCATATTGCAACCTGAGGAAAGTTGAAACCACCCCCGAAACCCTACCGGTACCTAGCTGGGCCCAGATGACCAACCGGGTCGGTCCACCATAGCATCTCCAATTATTGGAAGGTGTAAGTAACCGGCCGCCAGCGGGACTCCGGATTCGGCAATCATCAGTTCCAACTTTAGTTCTTCGAGAATATTTGCCAAATCATTGGTCGCTAAGCAACAGATTGTCGTCGGAATACCGTGAATGATGTCGTCATCTTCAGGGGACCGCACCGAACGGCCAGCCAGCAACTCTCCGCAAGAAAGGTTTTGGCTCTGGCGCCAGCCAGGGAAAAATTCACCGGAAAATCCTGGCGGCCAGCCAGGGAGGACCGTAAGCGGGCAATCAGCCCGCCAGGATTTGACCTTTTTCCCGGAGTTTTGGATTTTCCAGCCAGGAAAACCAACTTTTCACCGGAGATTTTCCAAAACCAGCCAGGATTTACCGGAAAAATCCTGGCTGGCGCCAGGATAAAAAAATCAAATATAGGTTCCAATTGCGCAGAGTTTACCTTCGGTGCGGTCCCCTGCATCTTGCTCGAGATTCCGATTCCAGAATCTGGATCTTCCTGGCTGGTTCCGGGCTGAACCGGCCGGCAACCGGCTGCCTTATATACACGTACCGGGCACTTTACACCTACGGCATTGCCAACCGGAGCATTGCCCGGAGTCGAGTCATATCCCAACGCAGTCCCAGTCAGTACATGTGTGCTTTGGAATCTCGGCCCCGGTCCATTTGCACCAGATTGTTGCAAGTATAATGCGCACTAGATGGCTTCCTACTCAATTCGCTAAGCTGTTCTTGAAAAGGAAAAGAAGCAAAGGCTTCGGTGCGAACGGACCGTGCAGATTCTGCTTGTCTGTGACTGAGGACTGCCGGAGCGGAGAGTATATTCGAAACACAGTGCTCACTCATGATGATGCTTTGCTCACACTTTGCTTCGATCGTGCTCCAGCCTCCCCCACTCGCTTCCTTGGAGCAGCCTGCAGCCTGCTGCTGCCTGAGGCTTGCATGCCCGGCCTTGCATCAATGCATGCAGCCACACAAAGGCTCTGTCAGCAACATGTCGACATCTGCTCTAGCCGGTCGCTGCTTCACCGCATTCCGACAAAGCCGTGACCCCACGCTGGGAGCTGGCCGCACAACGGTTTCTATCTGCAGAGACATAACGACGACCAAGATTCACTGCTGCAACGGGGCTGCGCAAATCATGATTGCCTGCGCTCTGCAAGTTGCAAGATTCTAGAATCAGCACTGCGTCAGTGACTAGCATCCAATCAATGCGCCGCAAGATGGCTAGGTAGACCTGTACTGAGCTCTACCGGTTATTACCTATGGTACCTATGCTCAGCTGGTGCTGGCTGTGCCAGCTCCTCTTCGTGCTACCTAGGTAGACACCACAAACGGTGGTGCTACTTTCGATCTCGTATGCTTCCCGCACTCATGATCACGCAGAAAGATTCGGCTGAGAATCTGCCGTCCTAATGGAGCTAGGGATGACTTACCAGCTATGTAGAGTGTGCCAAATGAGATGCAATCCCAGCTCCCTGCCCAGACAGTACATAAGCGATCAAAAGCTGCAACCTTCGCGCACATCTATCCTTGACAGCATTGCACCAATTCGCAAAAGCAAGGGACAATGGCGCCCCTCAAGCAGCTGGCGGTGCTTGCGCTGATCGGTGCTGTCTTCTTCCAAGATGCAGCGGCGGCGGGCGCATCTGCAGTGATCAAGACCGCTGAGAACGTCAACTACCGCTCGCCCATCGAGAATGTTCCTCATATGGGGCTTGAGAACCTGCAGCCTTCAGGGTGAGTTTCAGCATCTGGGGATTTGATGTTCCAACTTTGCCAGGGCTAAGTCAGTTAGGTTCCTGCCAGATTTGTGATAGCTGGTGCCCTGCATTCAACTTGCTTCTAGAAGTGCGTTGGGGCTCTGCCTGAATTCAGTTTTCTCTCAAGACAATTTGCGTTTCTCCAGCCGAAGCTAGGTCAATTCTGCTCTCGAGCTTGCCTCTTTCAGCCTTCCATGCTTCTAAGAGTCCATTAACAGCTTCAGTTCACTTCATCAGCCTGAGGATTTGTGATCCAATCTAGATGTCAAGGCTTCGGGAAGCAGTCTTTCAAAGCGTTTTTCAATGCAGCGCAATTAACATCCATCTCTTCCAGCAGACTGAGGAGAGGGCAGATGCTTTCTGTGCTGAGTCAATCTGGACTCACCACTCTTTGCGCAGCTCAGGCTGAGCTGCCTCAATGGTTCCTGTATCAATGCACGCACTGGCTTGACAAGCTTTCAAAGTGAGAAGCTCGTGAATGTATTCACCAGACTGTTGCAGAGTCCTTTTAAAAATGGGTACACGTTCAACCAGCTTTGGTTGACGATGAGCCCCCCCAATCTCATTTGATGCATCAGTTGTGGTGGTGCGCTGTTTTGTTCTGACAAGGAGGCATAGTCGAATCAATCAAACAAACTATTGTTTTGACCCCACTCTCCACCAATAAGGACAACCCCGTAAAGGTACAACGTCAGTCAAGCTTTCTTCTCAGCAGATCTCCTTCAGAGATTCTCTGAACCTTTGCACAAATGCAGTCAAATATGCCCATCAGGAGACGTTTCATTTGAGAAGTTTCTGACCCAGTCCCTGTCTCTCCATTCCCTGCAGCGCGGGTTGCCGGATGCTCTAGGCGCCTCAAATTGAACCGTTTCCATCTTCAAGTCTATCAAGCATGAAGATCTTTCTCATAGATTTTTCCCCTGAACAACGTCAGTCAAACTTGCTTGTCAAAGGGATACCTGTTAACCCTTCTCTGACCCTGTCTCTGCTTTTCCTGCAGTGCGGGGCGCCGGCTGCTCCAGGCGCCTCAGGTCTACTCGGGCGGCCGTTCCTTTAAGCACGGCGTGGCCAGCGGGGATCCCCTGGAGAATGGCGTCATCATCTGGTCACGTGTGACGCCCGACGACCCGACCGCTGAGGGCAAGAGCATTGAGGTGGGCACTTGATTTGTCCCACAGTTCGCAAGTGCGATTGCACGCTTCAAAAAATGTCATAATGTGGATCAAATCGCGTCATATAACAAGAGTTTTGAGTAGTCTTACTCGATGGTTGAGTACTTTCTAAGGGGAGCTTTCGAAACTCCATGTAGGCTGGCCATATAGACAAAACCCGTCAGCTGTCGGCGAACAAAGAGAGGGGGCATTACATTCTTCCAAAAACCAAACCGAAGAAGCAGCCAGTTGTCTGCAGGGCAGATAGTAGATTCGAGACCTTTCAGAGCTCAAGAGCTACCTTAGGCTTTTGCAAACGTTCGATCTGCATTTCTCCGACACTCTCCAATAGCGTCTTAAAGCGTCCAAAGCTAAATTAAAGTTTTGAGAAGCTTGACAGATGGAGTAATAGTCCCTGAGAGTGCTAAGATTGGCTGCAGAAAGCTCCGACAAAGTCGAAAGGGTCCCATTCTGATCAATCACGATTCGGACGCGCCTTACGGTGGCTGGAGGTCCGAAGCGTGCAGAAGCGTTCAACCAAACGTGTCCGGACCCAGCTCTAGATTTGCTGTCCCTTCCGCAGGTGCTGTATGAGGTGGCTCTCGAAACAGCTTGGAAGCATCCGAGCTCGTTTGAGAGCCTCCAAACGTGTCCGAAAGTGTATACGGACCTGAAGCGTCTGGAAACAGCTCCCACTTTGCCTCCCCGTCCGCAGGTACTGTACGAGGTGGCTCTCGAAACATTCCGAAAGAATCCAAAGTTACCTGAGAGCGTCCAAACGTGTCTGAAAGTGTCCACGTACAACAGAAGCGTCCGAAACCAGCTCTCTCTCTGCTTCCCCGTCCGCAGGTGCTGTACGAGGTGGCTCTCGACGCGGGCTTCACCAAGATCGCCTCCAAGGGGATCATCTACACCAACGCTGACGTCGACTTCACGCTCAAGGTCGACGTGTCCGCCCTGCTGCCCGCCACGACCTACTACTACCAGTTCCTCAGCGGGGGCGTCGGCAGCGGAGTTGGTAAGGGGCAGACAAGGTTATCATTTCTTTTCCTGGTAATATTCTTTCTTCAGATTTCCAGCGCTCTGACGGCACGCTAAGTACCTTGTTTGATTCGAAAGCAAGCCACAAACGTTGTGAGCGAACGGGGTTGGACTGTCGTAAGGGCGGAAGCTGACAGGAAATGAAAGGTCACGTCTGCTTCAACAATCACAGCAGACAAGATGGTCGGAAACTTCTTGCTACGGGTGGAACCCAACTGCCATTTTGAGCTGTTGGCTGCTTGTCGTCGATTCTGAAAGCGCCTAAGGAAGGCTAATGAGTCTGGTAATACATACCATAGAAGCTTAGAAAGTATCCCAGCTGAAAAGCATCATCTTTGTGCAGGCCGCACCAAGACCCTCCCCGCTAAGGGCGCCAACGTGTCCAACTTCAAGATCGCCGTCTTTTCATGCTCCAACCTGCCCCAGGGCTACTTCCATGGCTACAACCACGCATCCAAGAGGACCGACCTCGACCTCGCACTCCACGTCGGTGAGCAATAGTTTTTGGGTTATAATGCTAGGGTTAACTTTCAGGTGTCAAGCGTGCGGTTTTGCGAAGATGTGGAATTCTGTCATTGGAGGGTTCTCTCCTGGGTACAACCACGCATCCAAGCGAAGTGACCTCGACGTCGACGTGGCATTCGATTCCACGTCTGTGAGTTTCTAGGAATTGGAGTCGAAGGTTTTCGAGGCTCAGGATTTAGGTGTGATCTCGCCGCGCTATCGAAGGCCACTTCGCGTCATGCCAGCTGTCATTCCAAGCCTGTAATAATGGACGGTAACGCAGGAAGGCAGGAACGAACGTGAGATACCGGCAAATGCTTGAGATCACATCTCACGCTGAGCGGGGCTAAGTCTACGGTACATTTATCTTACTTTAGATTGTAGTACTGAGCCATTCAAGTACATCGGTCTTATCCTCTCTTTCTTCGGGTCTGCTGCCATTACATTCCGCATCGAAATGGACGTCTTCTCGCACTCCGTATGATCCGCTCTCGACAAGTTTCTTTTCGAGGGCAGCTCAACCAGGCTTCAAGCAGAAAACAAAGTCTTATCAGCAAAATGATTTCATTTCCTGAACGGCTCTCCTAATATGCGTTTAGGCGACTTTGACTATGCGAACAAGCCTTCGGCCGGGAGAAAATCTAGTAATTGAACCAAGACGCGTATCCTGAACGATTCCTTTAATACATGTTCAGGCGACTACATCTACGAGTACGCTAACAAGGAGTACGGCGATGGAAGCGTGTTCAACCCGCCTCGCATCCCGCTTCCCGACAAGGAGATGGTGACGCTGAGCGACTACAGGTGAGCTCACGGCCGTATTGTGTAGTCTGCAAACATTTGGCAGCCCCTTACAAATGAATTCTGCCACCATTGGAGGAAGATAGTCCGCCATCAATCGGTTGTGTAGCGAGGGCGGGCTGCAATCGGCTCAGTTGCTGGTTCCGTCAGCGTAGCTTTGGTTTTAGTCGCAGAAGAAATTGAACATTGGATAGATCTCCCGCATCCATGTCGTTATGTTTCTTTCGACTTCAACATCTAGCCGAGATCCTCAGTTAACGGCAATTCTTTGAGGGGATATTCTCTGCAAACCTTGCGCCTTAATCCGTTGACATAATCAAGTAAAACTCCCGAGCACGACCAACTCACCTCCCTGATTTGGAGATTGTGCATGTCCTAGCATTCTATGTAGATACCGGTCGCTTCGAGTATTCTACTTCTATTGCTTCCAGCTTCTGGCTTGATTCCACTGAATCGTTCGCTTCATAAGGCGGTCGCCCCAGAACGGCTTCTCTTGAACAGCACGGCGGCTTTCAGAGTGCTGCTCTTTGCTTCCGAGTGACACGTGTCGCTGCTGACTGCAGGCTGCGTCACGCCACGTACCGTGCTGACGTGGACCTCCAGGCGGCCACCAAGAACGTGCCGTGGATCCTGGTGTGGGACGACCACGAGCTGACCAATGACGCCTGGTACGGCGGGGCAGAAAACCACGACCCCGATCAGGGCGAAGGCCCCTGGTACACCGTAAGTCCACGCGCGCGAGCTGCTCTAGAAGTTCCCGGTACAGTGGCGGGACTTTGCTATTTCACACATTATAGAAAAGAAAAAGCATCCCTGCTTGGCTTTTGTCTGCAGCGCCGCGCGACCTCCGTGTGCGCATACTTTGAGAGGGCTTTCCCATCGCCCACAGTGCCTTACCACCGTTCATCTCTCCCCTCAATCCAAGATTCTAACGAAGCTAACCTGAGCCTAAGCGCCTTTTCTCTTCAGGTGTCTGCAACGCCGGGCGACCGCTGGCTCGTATAGTCTGTTAGAATTTCTACCAATTCGGAAGGCGTTCGGCTTGAAGCTTAACCCTTCCTAACTTCCTTCTCAAACCCGCTCAACCAGACCAGCTTAACTTCACCTAACCCCCTTCTCTTGTATGCAGCGCCGCGCGACCGCTGTGCGCGCGTACTTTGAGTGGATCCCCATCCGTCCGGTGAGAATGGGCCCCGAGGACCGCATCTACCGGTCGTTCTCGGTGGGCAATTTGGCTGAGATCATCATGCTCGACACGCGCGTCATCGGTCGGGACGAGCAGGCCAACTCCACGGACTGGAAGGCCATCTACAACCGCACCAGGTGGGTTGAAATAACCTGGTCGGAGAACGGTGTGAGTTGAACAGGTGCCCGCATTTGTAATAAGGACGCCGAGTTCGAAGCTTTCTCGAATGACTACGAGCTTGAGGATCCCAATCTGCCAGAAACCTAGAGCATGTGTATATAGATGACATCCGTCAATCGGGCTTCCAAGAGGTCCTAATCTGGGCCTTGTCTTTCAGCGGTCGTTTCCCAATCGAACGTTTGTTTTTCCGTCTCCTGTTTCCACAAAAAAGCTCGAAGACTCCTTTGCCTGATCAGCTTCATTTGTGAGCTTTGACAGGGTTCATATTCGACCCAATTCTAGCCCGCCCTCGTTTGAGCAGCTTGGAAACTTTCGAGAGGACCCCTTGAAGGAACTTGCGAGCCACGTTTCTCTCCCAAGTTACACCTTTCGATGATTTAGAACTTCTTTGAGCACCTTCGCGCCCCGCTCTTTCCAGGAGCATCTTGGGCGATGCCCAGGAGGGTTTCATCAAGGAGCGTTTGAGCGCGAGCAAGGGCGCCCAAAAGTGGCGCGTGCTGGGCAACCAGGTCCCCATTGCGCCGCGCTGGCTCGGCTCCTTCCAGGCGCCCAACACCGTCATCGGCTCCGTCGACAAGTGGGAGGGCTACCCTGGTTAGTCTTAGCCCTGGAATCCTATGCCGGACGAAAGCAGGGTTTCGCTTTGTTTGAGAAAGTCGGCAAAGCTTGAGTAGAGTCGGCAAAGTTTGAGTAGGGTATCGAAATCCGCGAGATCTTTATTCAGACGGCTCCTTACAGGCGCCCAGTACCGACGTGATTGGCTCCGTTGACAAGTGGGAAATCGACTTTGGTTAGTCATAACCGCGAAATCCTGTCACCGAAGAAGCCAGAGTTTTGTTCTCGTGGACGATTTCGAAAGGATTGATTCCAAAAAGCCCTGAGCTTTTGATCCTAGCTGGCTGCCCAGTGCTTACGGAAATTTCGAGGATTGTCGCACAACTTTTTCGTTCCTCGTCCGCTAAATGCAGTCGACCCTGCGACCCAGCTTACTACCCTTGCACTTCAGTCGCGACTAAGTTTTGGCAGCCAGTGTCCCGAAAGTCGAAGGTCAGCCTTACTAAAGCTAAGCCACTCGCATTTTCCAGAGAGCCGTTTCCGGATCCTGGAGCACCTCTGGACCAACGACATCAACAACACGGTGGCGGTTACCGGGGACGTTCACAGCGCCTGGTAAGCAGCACATGGCTCCTACTGAATTCTTTCCGGTACGACCCATCCCAGCCGAATGGACGTAACACACCAAGTTTATTTGTTGCAGTCGGTCACCCTACGTACCTGAATTATTCGACATTGTTCGAAATGCAAGCGCCGGCTTTGGGCGGCAATTGAGATTATGTAGGGCTTCTGCAGCCCAGGTTTGCCCACCTTTGGCTCTCAAACTTAAGTCATGAAGTATGAGAACGGCTATTATGAAGCCCGCATCAAACCAGATGGTCTTCAGCCCGTGGTCTCATCCCGGTTTGCAATGCTGATTTGGGCCTTCCTAGAGAAAACTCAAGAGGAGGGCTTGTGTGCTTCCAAACTCACGCTAGTTTGCAACGTTCGGGTTATATGTGCGACTAATGCAATTCGCCCAAGAGTAAGCTTTTCTGAAATTGACCACACAGCCCCTGTCCTTCGTTAACGCCTTCCGTGACCCCCTTTTCTGCGCTTCGCCTGACCTACTTGTCTGCGTTACCCTTCCAGGGTTATGGACAACCCGCTTATGCCCTACGACTCCTGGGGCCGCACGTACAATAAGACGACCGGCGCGGGGTCGCTTATGGTGGAGTGCGTCGGAACTGCCATCACTTCTCCCCCCGCCAACAAAGCGTGAGGCGCGTTCCCTTCCGGTGCTCGTCCCGTCGTCGCCTTCCTCGACGGTCTACAGAAAATGTAGTAGCCCTGGCGTCACGAGACTTTTCAGGACATCTCAGCAATATTAATACAGAGATCGTCACAGACGGAGTGCTTGCTTCTATCCTGCTATGAATCGGTCACGGAGGCATCCACTCAAACATGTCGCGGCTCCTTTAAAAGCTTTTTCCCTCGTTCAGGCATGCACGTTCGAACAGATTTTCTTCGTTGTTGTGCTCTAACCGGGCTGTCGATTCAAGTAAAACGCCTAACTCGCACTTCGAAGTAGCTTGTCGTTGGCACCATCACTGGCAGCATGTCGCCTGGAAGACGAAAGCATCTGTACGATCATTGTCCGAAATCCGGTCCCAGAAAGACGCAGTTTGCAATGCATGGAGCCTTTGCCGCGACTGTTTTCGATGCAAACCGATCTTCACTGATGCAGGAACGCGACCATGGCCCGCATCGTCGAGCAGCGTTACCTTAACGCCAACCCGCACCACAAGTATGTCAACACGGAGGAGTAAGTTTCACAACTCCATCCAGATTTTTATATTTTCTTCCGCACTTTCCAAACTTCTTTTCCTCTTTCTACGATGTAAAGTGAGATTTTCGGATTTCCAAGTTTTCTACCTTTTTCTTCGGCCGGGAATCTGGAAGACAGGATATTAACCCTCTCCTTAGTGCCAGGCAATGCCAGGCAAGAGTGGCAAACCTTTTTTATCACCTTACCTGCATACGGCCAGTTTAATCCGTTGCTAAGGTAACAGCGGATCGAGCCGGCAAGTGCATCCGGTGAGTGATGGTATGAGAGCCCTTGAGATTGCTCAATAGATAGGTCAGGAAAGAAGGAAGATTTTCCTCGTAAAAGTCCTCGTAGGAGGTTTTAGTAGAAGACCTTGTATCTGCATAGTCCATCTGCATCGTATGTGACAAGGATTACTGATTTTCTACGTGCGGCTGCGCAGCAACGGGTATTTCACACTGGAGCTCACTCAGGAGAAGATCAAGTGTGAACACTTTTTCACGAGCAACATCTCCCTGCCCACGTACACCATCAAGGGAACGGCTGCCTTCGAGTCTCTCTCCAACACCAACATCATCAAGCAAGTCTAGGCAGTAGCTCGAGCGCATCCACACCGGGCCTGAGACTTCCCAAGTCATGAGGCGATTGGGGGATCCCCCTCTCGTTTCGCTTTACGAGGCCTGAAATGGGATTGAGAGCGAGTGCGTAACAGTATTGGTAATGCTAGTCGAGAGTTCAACGCGCGCGGTCGAGCGCGCGGTTTGTTTTTGACGTGTACGGAATAAGCTCGGGTGACGTTCTCCGAAAGAAAGAGAAAGCTCGTGTTTGGACCCTTCTCCTACAGCTAGCGTGGCTCTTCAAGGGCCTTATACTGGACCGTTGACCTACGATCGTAAATTTTTACAGAAAGCTGCTAGCGACTAGTAGTCAGCCGAGCTAAGATTATAACAGTCGAGCAACAGCTCTGCTCTCAAGATGCACGTAGAACGTTTTGTGTGTGGTTTGCGAGGGCTCGTGCGTCAAGTAAGAGAGGACGTTTTTCAAAATGTTAGCCTCTCAAGAAATGTTTTTGTATGCAGCTCATAACCCCGAGATCTGCTATGGTCTTGAATCACTTGTCTTCTTTGCCCAAAAATGGCAAGAAAAAGGATGACATACGGTGCAATCAGGTGAATCCAACATGATGGTTGTATCTTAACACACCGCTAGGGGCGCAGGTGCAACGCTGAGGGTTATTGGTACTAATGTCGCCATTCATATCGTCTTGAGCTATTGAGGGAGTGTGCGACGAAGGCCGGCCGCTTGCAGTAGGGACGGTGATAGACACACGAGCTTATACGCGCATGTCAATTATAGCATACGTGTTTATTGATCTCGCCCTTCTCCTTCCAAACCCATTCTCGTCGCATGCCAATTGAGCGCCGCCTACAACTAGACTAGTGCACAGGCGCAACGGCGACGCTAAGTGCGCGCGGCTGTGCCGCCGTTAGTGTACGGTCAACCATGCACTTACAGTTCCACGTACCATTCGTGACATGCGCACTTCTCCTCTGCTACTTATCTTGCATTTCGTAAGGCACCAATCTCTGGGCCGCGCCGTCTGCTCTTTGACTGAGAAATAAATAAAAAGACTGAGAAATAAATAAAAGTCGCCCTTCACCTCTTCGAAAATTCCTTGGCATTCGCGCCGCCAGCTATGGATGGAACGGTGCCGACCGTCCGCCCGGACGGCTGCTCCGGATTGAACCGTCCGAGCATCGAGGCGTACTAGAAACGGGCCGCCAAAGCTTGGCGTAAGCTTGGCTTCGCGCAGCCAAATGGGTCAGATACACTCCGTATCTATTAGACGAAACAGATTACCGCTCTTTTCAAGCAACCTGCCGATTTTATATAGAGAGGGAAGCTTAAAAAGTTAGTCAAGTCACAGAGCTACATAGTCAGGTTGTTTAGTTGTCGCTATAATGTCGACAGTCGCGGTCTGCGACTATGTGACGATTACTCTGGTTAAGGCTAACGTCGTTATCGCACAGTTACGCTAACCGAGTGTCCTGTCGTCTAAATGGCAGGAAT